ATTCGTCTGAGTGAACGTGGCGAAACGAAGCACCATTTGTTGTTTCTTATAACTCGTTAAGCAACTAGTAGCACTGTTCTCTTTTTCTCTTTTCTTATGATGGAGTTCTCATTCTAGGTAAAGCTGATGAATTTTTTGTGATCATTGTACCTCTTTACTACAAAATTGTACAATCCACTATCCAGTACTCAATACCATTTGACCCCATAACCCTAGCTCGTTCGCTGGTATACAGTTGTGGTTGGGCATGTGTTTGCGTGCAGAGGTCTGCATGTATCTGAAGAGAATACAGGCGCTAGGGTGGAAGCACAGTTGATGGGTGAAAGTAAGTGATACCAACTCTTAGGGCTGATAGTAAGCCCTAGTAACGAGAACCATAGGAAAGACTGCACTTTTCGCGTTAACCTTGCAGCCTCGACACTTTGGTGGGTGAGATGAGATGTCACGATACTGCAGATGATCCGCAGGTGGGTAGTAAAAGACAATGATAACAACATAAGGGTGATAGGGGGTGTGGTGCAGTAGGAACGAAATTGTCGCGTCGTGGCGAGAGAGACGTCGCGCGCGAAGGAACGTAGCAGAATGCAGCAGCAAGTCAGGAGTACAGGAACAAAAGAACTGACAGTATATCGTGCCAAAAGTAATAATCGCATAGTAATAATCGATTGAGCTGTATGAAGAATGCTAGAACTGTTATAACCACGCAAATGGTCCGCGAAAGCCGCGTGCGGCGGATCGATTACACAAAACCGTTCCTACTGCCCGTCTCCCGATGATAGGAGGTCGTATGAGAGAAGAGCCAGAACACACATAGGAGGTCGTATGAGAGAAGAGCCAGAACACACGATACGTTCTTCGTGTAAGCTGTGGAGCTTTGGCACTTTTATAGGCGTTGCGGGTTGTGTAGAAACCATAGGTGGCTGGTGGTATTAGCTGATAACGACTGGTAGGGGCTGGTAAGGAGCCGTAGAAGACAAGAGTTCCTCTACGCCTTTCGAGTAACAGTGAATTGTGGCGAGATCGAAGATGGGTATAGGAACTGATAACAACCGTTAAAGGCTGATAAGAGTTCTCATAATATAGTGGCGAGAAATTCCTTAGCCCCTCTACCGGCAGTTGATTCTGGCATCAAAGTCGCCAAGGATGACCTCGAAGTAGAGCTGTTTCGATAAAGCGTTTCCGTCTCTGGACGGATTATTTCCAGTTTATCGTCGTCGTAGTTTTATGCTGGATGACGGATAACGTAGATGACGGAGATTGCCAGAGCTGGTGCTTTTTTCAGCTCCAAATGTCAAATGGGCCTGCCAGGCTTTCTTACGCATCGATTTTCATGGTCAAGTGTGGATCGGCTGGGCACCCACACTGCCTATGCTAGATAGAAATATTCCTTCTGTTGTATGTGATGGGCAGTGCTTTCTCTCCTCGGTCAGTTCATCATAATTGATTTCCCTGGCTTAAATCAACAGCTTTCTTTGTATTTTACCCTTTCTACGCCGACTTCCTCGCTTTGTGAGTATTGATCGTTGTCTTTTTTTTTTAAATACGAACCGACTCCTAATTTGACAGCTAAACTCAATTGATCTTACCCAACGTTGTTAAGATGAAACTCCTTTCAACCAGTGGAATAAGTTTGCTCACATCAAGAGGGTTTGGCGTAATGATCACCTACGAGTAGTCGGAGTGGATTTCGGCTTACTTGATGCATCATCGTACCACTTTGAGCTACCACCCAGTAACTCAAATGTTGCTTCCAGGTGGTTAGGTATACACACTACGCACCCAAATGTAAACACCCATCGAGTGGACAGATCAACGGGAAGAATTGGCCCAGATTAGCTCAGCTTCTGGCCCACCTATTACATTCCATTCCATCCCCGCATAAACCTCCTCACACCTTGAGAACGAGTAGTCTATGGTCACGAACAGCAGCCCCACCGCGTTTCAGTCTTTTCGACTGACCTACTTCAGTTACTTTTATTCTGATTGTAGTAAAATGTTTCGGATAAGTCAACCATAAATTATTGGGTGAGAATTGAGGCATTTGTCCAGCTGATCTGAATTAGTAGTTTGGTATGCGAAAAAAAAAACCAAAGTGGGAAAGGTGAGAAGTAATTCAAATTCGTCTTTTTCAATGAATGCATGAAAAAGGAGAAGTAATTGAGTGTCAATTACTTCTCCTTTTTCATCGTTGCTGTATTTCATCTAAGCACAGCTTCAGAGTTTACCACTCTTACTTCAAGTCCAATCTGGAACGTGGTTAGAATTTTCTTGGAATCTTATCAGTTGTCCATGATTGTTGCCTTTGCTACCTCAGTTTACCGCCTTAAGATCGTTTTTTATTGGGTCGTTTTGTTTCGTTACGATGGAGATCTGCCAAGTCAATCATCACCCACTTTTTTATCTCCTAGAGCATAGTTCCTCACCTAGTAATTGGCCGAGTTCACAACACCTTTCGTGGCAGCATTAGCGGCTTAGCGAAGCGCTGGCTCTTATCAGTGCACTTGCCGCTCCTGTGGGTGATGTCGCCACGTGCGGCTTATACTGCGGGACACCGGTTCTGCAGTCCTTAATAGGGCTGCGCACTCATTGTCATGACCCAACATCTATTCTGCTAGTGCCTCTTCTTCGCCCCATGTCTCCGCAGTTTTCTGGGCTACCTGGGCTTGTGTCTTTGATTAAACTCTCGAGAGATAACACGTTCCACGTGCAGACCCTGGCGTTATACACTTCTGCAAATATTGCTACCATCACAAAATGTAATTTCTATTTCGAAACAACCATATCGGAGTATATCATTTCACTGTTTGCCTTCAGTGCTCGACACCAATGGTTTTTATTATTCTTATTCATTGTCATCACTGACTTTTTTGTTGGTTCATCCCATGTAAGGTACCTTACTACTGCTTCCTTGGGCGTATTCATGACTCTTAGTTCCTTATCAGTACATTTATGTCTTTTTCATTTGTCAGTTATGCTCATGTCTTCGATTTTCTTACTGCCTGTTAACTACTTCAGATGAAAAGGTGGTCCATTCATTCTTATACTTCCTCCCCTCTTTGAAAGACTTGTTTTTCTTCTTTTTGGAAAAGGCTCAGTCATCCTGCTGAGAGCGATAACTCACCCATCAAAGCCATCATTGAGGTCCTTCTGAATAGCTTCAATGTAGAGAGCTGAATCTCTTTGGAATAGAGAGATTTGCTACCAGCTGCCTTTTGCCGTTCTCGATTAACATCTGATTTCCTAACTCCAAGTCACATCCTAAGCATTTTTATGGATGGTCATGCTTCTCTACGATCCCTTGAAATTCCTTCTATTTTCCCATCCAACTCAACAGCATCAGACTCTGATAACGTGAAAGACATTCTCTCCCTCTGCAGAAAAGGGAAGGCTACGCTTTTGTCCATTCGTTCTTAGACAGACGAGTTTGGCAGGCAACTTCCACTTCCGCTCGATCCACCACGGTGGTCAGGAATTGGAACGCCTTGAGAACACCCTACATTCTTTCTTCTTTCTACGTCACCATTTTCATCTTCATCATATCTTCCGTATTCCCTTTTTAGGTGCTGAAATAACCTACTGGAATTAATGGTGTATTGTCAACTTCCCAACCTCTCATCTGTGTAATCCCATAGCAGTTTTCCTTCTTAATCCTTCCTCAATCTTGCGCAAATTATTCACATCCGATTTTCTTCATTCAGCGAGACCACACAATGCAAACGAGACTGGGAACAAAAAAACTGCTCTGCTGGTTTTTTGCTTCCCTTTGCTGCTGCGATCATTCGCTTGGGAAAACAGTGCAAAGACTTCTCGCACTTTTCCTTGACACAAATGAAACGTTCAAGAGTGGATTCCAGCTCCTTCGCAATAAAAACTGTTGGAAAACTGTCCCATCAATGAAACTTGTTCTCGGACGATCTTTTGAAAATTGACGTTCAACATCTGATGGGGTATCCGTGTGACAACCAGGTCCTCCTCAAGTGTTCTATATAAGACCTAGGTTTAGTAATAGGTAAACATGTGAAATTTCTATGTCCACAATTCTCGGTAGGTTTCTTGTAACCGTAACCCAAGAGACGGACATAAGCTTTATTGGGTAACCTTTCGACTGTGTGACTTGGTTAACTCCAAGGAACCTGATAAAGACTTGCACAAACCATACCAACGTTTACCGCAATTTGCACGTGAGTACCTATGCGATCGTTCCCTTTTGAAGCTCACCACAGTTCACTTCTACTCCGTAGGTGCTGTCGTTCCAGAAATCGACACTTCCTATGGAACCGTACCAGTGACCTGTGCGGGTGCCATTCAACCCGCTCCTCGTGAAGGAGAGCGGCGTCACTCTCCACCCTTAGCATCCCCTTCTTATCAATACACTCCATGTACGGTATTCGAAATAATTCTTTGAACAAGATGAAAACCTTTTGGGTTGAGCCACCGAAGTGAGAAACTAGACCTATTCTAACTATTCGGTACTTCAGAAATACAGCACCGAGGTTTTACAGAAGTGATAGCTCTATGCCACCATATGGAACTTACTTTGCACTTGCTTTCGACTCTTTCCTCCGTCGTCGCCCTCAATAAGCTGCTGCGATCGTGTGAAGGTCGACGCGGCTCCTCTCTGTACTACTGCTTCATTGCCCTTTCCATCTCATCTCTGTTCGGGCGATCGCTGCCTTTCCCCCGTGATACATTGATCATGTCAGTTCTGTTGCGTAAAGCCCCACCGAGCGCCGGCACCGAGAGTCATCAGCGGCGAGATGGCGCGGTTCGTTTCATTCTACTTTTTTTTTATCCGACACATTCCATACAAGTGCAACATCGACCGTTGTGTGTTTTGCTAACGAGTCACGTTTGTTAGCTTTTTTGTCGAATTTCTGTGCCATTCGTGGTATTTGGGTGCCTATGTTGAAGAATTTGCTGTGCGCCTCAAAATATCGACCCTCTCGCTTGGTGCAAAGGCGAATTTTCCTAGCAAGTGCGAAAAATCCTAATGCTTTCAGGCTTGAATCAGCTTAATAACAATGTGTTTTTGGCTCGGATCCATGTGCGACAGTCAATTCTTTCGTATTTACGGCTCAAAGGGCAGAACGTTGACCTTTGATTAAAGCGATCACGCCGAAGCTTTGGGCCACCGGATAAATTATTACGCTCGAAAGCTGCAACAGTTGCAAGCGCTCTGCCGAAAAAACTACTTGTGGAGCCCAGAGCGTGAGAAATGCTGTAAACTAGCCTCATCCCTTTTCTTTTGACCATACCTTCAGGTTTTTTGATCAAACTTGAAGACAAGGTTCACCTTAATTTTGAGGTACCCTAGGCTTAAAAAACAGAAGTATTTGTTGGGAATAGTGCATCGATGGTGAAGGAAGCAAGAAAATTCGGTGATTTTGCGAAAATAAGGCATCTATAAGTAGTGAAAATAGAGGTTGTGCAATATTACCGTAGCGGAAATTACCCAAAACGAGTATTTGAACGAGATTTCAGCTGTTGCAATTGCGTAAAGAGCTGACTACTTCAAGCCAAAACTGTCCAGTATTGCCTTGCACTGTTGCTATGGGTCATCACAATAATGGTGCAGCCTCTATAATGCTTTCGAAACTCGTTCGCACATACACACTGGCAATCTGTGAGCCGTTATAACGCCCTCTCTAGGTGATTTTACGACCTGACAGCGCCACAAATGGTAGGAAGGAAATTTATCCTAGTGGGATATTTCATAAGGCATTTTTATCTTCAGTTGGCAACTTTTTTCTATCGTACTTCTTCTACTTCTTCCGATCGATGGAACGCATCTGTTGTAATTCGAGCGTTTTTACGATTGATGTTGCCTCTCTGTAGGTTTGATTCTCGAAAAAAAAACCCCGCCGATTGTTTCATGGCTGGCTCACGCGCTAGTGCTCGATAAGCGGTNAAAAAAAAACCCCGCCGATTGTTTCATGGCTGGCTCACGCGCTAGTGCTCGATAAGCGGTTTTACAAAAGGTCAAGTACCCGACTGGGCCAGCTGAGAAAACAGACGGAAAATGAAAAGTAAATATGATCGACTAATGAGTAAAGAGAATTCTATCATGCGTTTTATCGAACTCTTTTGACGACACCTCAAAGTGCTAATATCACTCGAAATTGTCGGTTACCCTCAACTTACCCTCCCCCTGTGCCCTTCTCATCCCTACCTTGAAGTCGTGCTGTTTTGCTGCAGAAAAAAAGTAAAAATGGAAGGTTAGTTGAGCGGATTCCAGGGATAGGGCTTGTAAGTGGAGCGATTGGATATTCTTAGAGATACTCATTGTTTCTGAGCTGTACCCCTGCTCTTTCAAAATGGTGGTGCAGATTAACTCGTTCTGTTCACAAGCGAATATCGCGCAGGGCTAGCATTGAACTTTGGTTAGGGGCTGGATGTCCTCAAACTAATGATATTGGCCATTGGTGCCTCCCACTGGAACTTTCTCGGAAAGCTACTGTCGAAAGGAACGCGATAAAGGACGTCGAGAGTGTACAAGTAACTGAGTAACAAAGCCAATTTCAGAGAATCGTCAACGATAGAAGACTCACTGTCCAAAAAAGCAAGGAAAGAACCATCGTCGTCGCAATGGCCGACATGGAATCTTGCAAAAGCTGCACTACTCGTATCTATAGGTAGTGATTTTTTGATTCTTCATGTTCTTCTGGTGTAGCAAACAGTCATTTCTTCATGACATACCTCACTGTTCCAGCCTACTAAATTGTAGAACCGCTGAGAAGCAAGACTAGGCGATGAACTTTTAAAAATGCATGAGTCGGTTGGGGTAATTACTGAGTCAGTACATGGTTACTTCGTTTCTTTTCGTTCTTGTGACTTTTACGTGGGAATTTCATTTTGTCTCTTATCCATTTACACCGCAGTCAACCACCCTTCTGATACTACACCTATTCAAATTCTGTGGTGGTGAGTCAAACTTCTGACTTTAGATAGGGTAGATAAGGTCGTGCATCTCAACTGGAGACTCCTCAAAAGTTCTGTTGCTTTAAAGACTGTGGAGTCAGCTTTTGATTAATGTCAGTCAATACTGAAGTAGGGGATGAATGCTTCAATCCAACTTCATTCATAACCTCCCACTCACTTGAGATTCACCTTGTCATAGGTGGCGGATTCAATTTCGGATATCAACTACTCATCACGAATCCAGCTCAACTGGCATTCATTCAGTTTCTTAACGACTCCTATGCGGAAACGCACGGTATACGTCAGGATCGTGGTACTCTCGAGGTATGTCATCATCCCATTTCAGTTGCGTTCTTGTTGAGCCGACGATAGAGCAGGGCGGCTTTTCAGTTTCTCTGGGGAGTTATCGTGTCGACATTTTTCTGGGGAGCCACCGTTGGTGCCCTGTTGATCCAAACAACTGCAGATCGTCTTGGACGTAAAAATGGACTTATTTTCACCTTTTTAGTTCAAATTATCGCAGTTGCAATGGAAATCGTCAGCTTTTTCGTAAGTTTTAAACTCGCCGGTTACAAAGAGAATTTCGAGGATTGGTCATGCTTTCAGGCGAATAGCTACATACTGTTTTCGATATCGCGGATCGTGCTCGGTGCTGCAATCAGTGTGTCGTTAGGAATTGGCCCGATGTTTATTATTGAATGCAGGTGCATGTTCATCTTACATGGAGAAAAGCCCTTAGAATAGGGGCCAGGACACCTTTTGGAATGGGGCTATCTCACGAGTTTCTAACAAGAGAGATTATTGGTAGTGGAGCTATGATTGGGAAAGGACAACCAGCGTTAGCTTTTCAGTCCTGTAGGATGCCGTGGCATGATCTCGATGGCAACCGGGGTGATGCTCCAAGTGGGACTTGTCGTCGGTTCAATTTCTGCAATGCCAGAGGTACGGTTACTTCGAGCATGTTAGGTTACAGTGTTTTTCGGACTTTTGAGGAAGTTGCTAATGACTTTCCACCACAATTCCAATAGTCCTCAATAGGGCATCTGTCCGCCACGTCTCACGATTATCATCGTAGTACAGGGTTTCCTTCTGTAGCCATTAACCAAAATATCGAATTGAAGTAGGGATTTCTTCCTCGCGATAAACATAGCATTTAGAGAACAAAAGCAGCACTAAACATGAAATGAGTTCGATTAGGCGTCCCGGTCCTACAGGTTATGCTACTGAATCTTTGCATGGTCATCACTGATGCTAACTGATGTGATTACAACAGTTTCAAGTGGTCCCTTACTGTATCAGAGCTGGGCGGAGTTGCGGTGGCTCCCAATGGCGGTTTTATCTCAAGCAGCTCCACCCGCAGCGGCAATCCTCCCAACTCTGTTGAGGGGTACGAGGCTGGTAAAGGAGCATGTTTGCACTAGTTTGCAATTGGCTCCTTTACCAGTCCCGCACCGCTTAATAGATTCAACTGGATCAGTTGTATCGTGCAAATTGTTACATAGGCCGTACAAGCATTCCAGCGCCACTGCGTTCCCGTATGGAAGCGTGGCTTAAAACTGGATTTAGTAGCACCATGAACTTAGCCCCTTTCCGCCATCGAATTTTCGCAGTCCCCTAAAGCCTCCTACAGTGGAATGGAGGTGAATAAAGTTGCCTGACATACCAAATGTGGGAGAACGTCCGTTGCGCGTCCGTTGAAAGTAAGTCATGCCTCCCACTTCGCGCGCGGTGCACCCCACTAAGGTCTCGAGACGACATTACAGTACTACCAAATGTCGGTGGAGCGAATGATTTGCAATTGTCCGTGTTATCTGCTCTTTGGTTGACTGTTGTGGACCAAGCGCGATTCGTATGCCCCGTGACAACTGCGACGTTTGTCAAGTATCGCGGGCTGACCCGCCGCATGTGACGGCTGGGGCGTGACCCAGTTTCGATGGACGCCCGCAACGAAGCGTACCCACCAAATGTGGAGTAAGCGGCCTTCCATCCTGCCTTTGTTATATTTATCCGACTCACTTTTTCTATCTTGTGACTGTGCACGATTCCTACCAACGCAATTTTGGCTTTTCTCTCTTCCATGTGAATTTGAAATAAGTACTATCAATTCTACGCTCTCAAACGGAGTAGAAAAATCGAAAAAGCTGCTGCATCAAAAGTGGTCTAGGATTTCCTTGCCTTTCAGATATGGGGTACAGTGGATTGCTGGTGGCTTGTCTATGGACTGGAATTGTTGCTTACAGTGCTCGTCACCGTCTTCATGCTATTTGTTCCAGAGAGTCCAAGGTCAGTTACTTGATTTTGCACTTGTGGGTCAGGAGTCGCTAGGCGATCGCTGAGTGATTACCGCACTTAGCTAGCACTAATAGTCCTGACTCGACTGCTTTTGCCTCTTTTTCATCAATGGCTCTGGAATTTTGACAGTAACCTGTGGTCTTGAACCTTGCCCCGCAAAAAAAGCCACTTTGTTCTCCCATCATGTGATAGTCTTTAACTGCTTACAAGTATGGGGGTGGGAAACAGCGATTCGTCAAAGAATTGGGGAGATACTTTTTATGGAAGCAGCACCGTTCCTAATAGATTGCTAACAAAATGTCAAACCAACGACAAGGACTGTGGGATGAGAAGAGTGTGATGGGTGATCTGGATTTCGAGCAATGATCGCGATGGCATCTCCTGACCCATATCCGACTTCTGTGATGCACTCTCCTTTTAACTCTTATTTTCATAACTTTTTAGCTTCCTCATGACGAAAAACAAGAAACAACTGGCAGAAAAATCGATTCTCTATTACCATGGTGTGAGCGAAGCAGAAACTGAACCGTTGATGGCAGACATGAAGAAAGGTGTCGATGGTGAAAAACCACTCGGATTGTTTGAGGTCATCAGGGTAAGTTATGGAAAGTGGAACTACATCGATGAAAAAGTTCAAACCACCACCTCTGTGCCAACTGTCTCCCTCCAAGTTTCTTTGTAAAATATTCAAAGGAAGATGAATTCAATCTCGGGAAACATTGACATCCTTGGAGAGCCAAGCCAGTCATGTGATCACATAATATATTTGCAAACTGCAGTAGCTGAAAAAAATTTGCACTGCAGCCGTTGAAGAAGAAGTCCGGTATCTTCTTCGCGAAAACGGCGTCGCGTTTGCCGCACCCGATCGCGCAGAGTCGCGCGCGAAGGGAATGTTTGAATTCCCAATGCAAGGATAAGGTAGCCGCCGCGTGATCTTTGCCGTTTGCCGTGGGAATTCGGAGAGAAGTTCCGGCACTCTTGAAGAAGGCCTGAAATGGTGCGTCCTTGTCCTGGAACGATTTTTTTTTTGGTGAATATCGTCTAAAAAGCAGAGAAAAATAACGAGCTCCGGGGACGTTTTCAACGGTTAAATCCTTTTAGGGATTTGAAAAGCGTAGCCACGTACCGTATGATACATCCGATATTCTTCGATAGTTTTTTCATTACCTCTACTCTTCCTTACAACATACATTAGGTGTCATCCTGATTATCTTCTTGTTCAGGACAAAACGTGGCTATGTGGATTACTGGTCGGTATCGCCATTATGAGTGGGACAATATTGTGTGGAGTTGCAGGTGACTGTTAGACTTGGCAAAAAAAANAAAAAAAATTAACGAGAAGAATCGGAATGATTTGTGCTAAGGATATCTTTTGCACGGAACTAGGATAAACTAAGAGATCTAACATGTATCAGTAATTAATAGAAGTGATTGAATTGTTCTCACAGCCGCTTATTTACTAGCTTGATCTTCTACCATATACACTAATTTTCAGCTGTCAACGCTTTCGCCTTCGAAATTCTCCTCAATGTCGGTCTCAGTCCGCTTCATGCATCGCTCGGCAATTTGGTTATTTGCGTAATGGCTGTGGTGAGTTCTTCAATCCATCCTTGTAGTATATACAAAAAGGAACGCGGTGATTGCTGTAGTGAAAATAGTTGGTTTTTCATTGAAGAAGTAGGGGGTGGAGGAAGCATGTCCGAAGGGGCAGTTCTGAAGTAATACGCTTTTCATTTTGATCATAGCCTCCAGTGATATCTAAGCGTATGTATCAGCTAGAAATACGATATTTTAGGCGTACCTATGATATGAATACCTAGTCCTTGAAACCGATGAGTGCCAAGAAAAGTATAGCTTACAACTCCGGAATCGTAAGAGAAGCCTGGTTTAAAAACGTAAAAACGGAGTAGTTGTATATTTTCAGCTTAAGCTACCCTAAAATTCCATAGATAAGAGCGGTTGAAACTACCGGTGAAAAATGAATTGGAATGAAATTGAAATTGAATGCANATTCAATTTCAATTTCATTCCAATTCATTTTTCACCGGTAGTTTCAACGGCTCTTATCTATGGAATTTCAGTGTAACCACAGCTATCGTTCTGACTACTCGGTGTTTTTGTTCGGTTTAGTTCTGATTGCTAAGTATCAAGCCAACAGTTCAACGCTTTAGAAGTATGAACCGTCTGTAACTCGCCGATGACATATGCTTTACGCTGCTTTTTACGTAGTCGCTTTTTTAATGGCGTAGGTGGTGCAGTGGCAAATGGCGCCCTATCTCACATGCACCGTCACAGGTTTGAATCTCGGATCAATATCCGCTTAGGCCAACCAAGCTTTCCACCTCCAGCGTCGCTCAATTGCTACTATACTCGTCTGGGAAGATGAAGGCACTTTCGTGTGAGTCGACTGATCACCACAAATCATTGCGCGGGCGCATACCTTAGACGGTCCCAAGCATTAGACTTTGCCTTAGTGCCCCAAGTCTTTATCCTCTATCGAAGACGTTATAATCGCTTCCGCTACAAGAACTGTAAACAAAAATCACAAAGTATAGGTCATCGAATAAAAAAATCGGAAGGATAGAGGATAAAGCCTTGGGGTGTTAATCAATCCCGTCTGAGGGATGCGCCCACGCATTGGACTTCCATTCAAAATCGTATTGGCATATTGAATGCGTATGTGGCCTATACAGTTACATGCGTTTTCCAGCCGATGTACAAGTCAGTGCTTTTATTCCCACACGAGTCTGGTACCAGATCACCGACCCCAGGGGGATGAAAGGCTTGGTTGGCCTAGGCAAACATCTATCCGGGATTTGAACCCCCGACCATGCGTGTGTGAAGTGCGCCACTTGCCACTATACCACCTCTCCCCAATGAAAAATTTAATAGGATCAAATATGAACAGCAAGAAATTCGTGGTTTTCGTCCATAGAAAATGTCCCCTCAAAAAACTTGCCAAGTAGTCTTCATTTCTCGTGTGGAACAGGGATGAGCTTAGCTTCACAAGATTCCCCTCTAGTGTAGGTAAAAAAGAACTCCTAAGTGTTGCTTGAGGAGTAGGGATTTTTTGAATCTACTCCATTTCTGGGGGACGAATAACTCCTTTCCTCTGGCTCTTCTTTGCGGCATTCCTTTGATTTGCCTTCAGAGTAATTTGCTCGAGAAGTCAGAAGTCGGAAAAATCGGACTTACTTCAGGCTCCTATCTAGCAACAACGATTCCAACAATTTGAAAGCTGTTATTCTTTTGCCCATGTTCAGATTGGTGTTCTGGTGTCAGGACGTTTGGTTGAGCGAATGGGACGTCGACCACTTCTCATTTTCACTTTTGGTGGAATTGGCCTAGTGAATGTTCTGATATCCGGCTTCATGTACATGTTCCAGATCAATAAGGTGACTGATTCTCTTCGAAGTTCGAAGTTTCTTGCACTTAGAGTTTTGGTTCTTCAGGTGGACTGGATCGGATGGTGTGTTGTGGTGTCGATCTGCGCCTTCAACCTGGTTTTCGCCGCTGGACCTGGACCGCTCTGCTTTTTCGTCCCCGGAGAGCTTGTCGGTCATAAAGCCCGAGCAGCCACCTACACATGGCTGAACATTGTGATGAATGGATTGTATGTTCAGGGTTCATCTATGAGTTTCTGAAGTACGCAATACCGCTTATTTCTTGTTTCAGTCGCTCTCTCCTACTGGTTGTGTACTTCCCTATTCAAGCTGCACTTGGTGGACCACTGTGCTACTTTATTTTATTCTTTCCTCCCTGTGCTATAGCTGTAGCCATCTGCTACTTCTACCTTCCTGAAACTACAGGGTTATCTCCTGAAGAGGTATGTTCCGATGAAAGGTTATCCTTTTGTTTGCCGCATATAATGTCGCGCATAGTGGACGGAGATGGTATAGTGCCAAGTGGCGTACTATCTCACACGCATCATCGCGACTTCGAATCCAGGATCGATGTGCGCCAGGCCAACCAAGCCTCCTATCCCTGCGGGATCGCCTAATTGGGACCAGACTCATTGAGAGGATAATGATAAAAGCACTGACTTGGCTGGCCACCGCAAGTCATTGTATCGGTCATAAACGCATTCAAAACAAAACACTGAATAGAAGATGAAAACGATGCTCTTTGCAAAAACACTTTTGATCGACGCCAAAAAAATTCAGAGACCCAGCAATATGAGCGGAATTTGGTTCAGTAGTCGTAAGCAGAGGCAGCGGTAGAGTAATGACAAGTGGCGCCCGTCACACGCACATGGTACGATACTTCGATTCTGAATGGAGGTCGAATGTGTAGGCGCGCCCCAAGCCTTTATCATTTTTTACTTTGACCGTGAGCGCTACGTCTGGAGACGTAGGCATTGGAAATCTGGCCTTTGGAAGTTTGTCAAAACGGGTCGCCCTCGTGCTTTCTTCCAATTTACCAAAACAAATGCAACAACGAGTATAGAGTTGTAATGAATGCTACCATGATATCATTGGCGTTCAATCCCACCAGTAGTTGCTATACAAAGTCGAAATACTGGGGAGCTTGGATTTGTTTATTCAATTTTTTATTGCGTTAAGGCACGAGTTGCAATGCGTCGACTGCCATCCTGTTGTAGAAAGAATGTGAGAGAAGACGAGGATGAGAAAATGGATGAGATTAGATCAGACTAGAAAGCGAATGGAATATTTTTCTTTTGTATTTATCCTATTCATCAACATTATCTTTATTGTAAAAAGTTCTTCTGTTTGAATTTCCTTTTTATTATTTTATGGCCAATTTGTTCTCGTCTTGTTTTAAGATTGTTTTTTTTTGCTACAATCTTTTTTGCCTTGAAGTTGTTATTCATTTTGATGGAACCGTCCGTTCTATAAATAAGTCGAACATCCAAAATTTCCAACAAAGAATGGTTATGGTCTAAGGCTGCAGTGTGAACGCGACCTAATCCACGAGTTCGTGGGCTTAGACCACCAACGGACGGCTGCTCAGCAAACATAGCACTGATGCCGACGAACGGTGTCCCTAGTAATTCGATCGATTGAAAGCATGATTTGGTAGAAGCCGTGAAATAGTACTATCGAGAAACTGGCAATGTATATATAGGTTCTATGATAATTCCTGATGGATTTTGTTTCGATTTGTCCCACTATCTTGAAAACTTTCCTATCAGATAAATATGAATCAGAGTTGCTCACAAGGACTATACAGAGAGGCGATCTATTGATGTAATCGCCTCGAAAGCAGGGAAGATTCAAAGTTGGAAAAGCGACGGTCATACTTTCCAGCCTGGGCTCGTCGTTGGAATTTCACTCCCACGACATACCGCTTCAAAATTCAGAACAAAAAAGAAATAAGTGCCCCGACAGAGGAAAAATACTCTGGGTGGGTGGGGGATTAATGTCGCTCTACTTCGGTTGCTCTGTCGCCGAGATGGAATCCATGCAGTGCGGCGTTTGACGGCGTTTGGACGAAGAAATTTGTAAAAAATTGGTGAAAAAGTTTTTGAGAGTTTTCTGACGGCCTTCCTGAGTAATGCCAAGCTGGCAGCTTTTTGTGGCATGGGTATTTCAGCTTGAATTTGAAATTTTGAAGAAAGCTGTCAAATTCATATATGTACACCCAGTATTACCAGGTTTATAAGAAGGGACAGAGTGCTGGTAAACGTGGCTGAAACTGAATTCCCCTTGGTGTCCCTAACAGAGGGAAAAACGCAACCTTCAAACATTCCAGGATACTCTATCTCAGCGAAATCCTAATATCAAACAACATACAAAACGACCTTGCCACAGGTGAGTAAAGTTTAATTTTTTACCTGGGGTGAGTAATTGCTTCGAAAGTTAAAGTAGAGTGAATAGAAAAACTGGTTGGATAGTCAGAAAATTAGTGAAGTTGCGTATTTTTGTAATGACAGATATCATAACGCAGAACGATGGAACCCGCCTTGAAAATTCGAAATTTTTAGTCTTCAAAATCGTTTACCAATGAAATAATCATTGAAACTATTCAAGCGGTCACTTATTCAACTGATTTGCTCGCTCGATCTCATGGATTCCCATAAATTCGCTAGTTGTATGATCGACAAAATCGAGAGGACACGCTCCATTCAAACTCCATCTGGAACAGAATAAAGGTTTCAAAAAGCGTTGATCCTACATAGTAGTCGCTATGGTCAACACTTAACTAAATCAAGTCAGCCACACAATGAGAACTACAGCTTTCTGTGCAGCATCGCTATTTTTTACTAATATAGGTAGATGTAGGCGGAGATGGTGTAGTGGCAAGTGGCGCACTACACCACACGCACGGTCGGGGGTTCTAGTCCCAGATCGATGCCCGCCTAGGCCAACCAAGCCTTCCATCCCTCCGGGGTCGGTGGATTGGTACCAGACTCGTCTAGGAGAATAAGAGCACTAATTTGTACATCGGCTGGCCAACACAAGTCATTGTAAAGACCACATACGCACTCATTACGCCACTACGATTCTGAATCGAAGTCGAGTGCGGGGGCGCATCCCTCAGACGGGATTGATTATCGCCAAAAACTTTATCCTTTATCCTTTTATAGCTAGATGTTCTTTTCTAGTGGATTTCCTTCACCAATGGAATGTCGTTGAACTGTCGTTATGCACCGTCATTTCGCGCCTCGCTCTATATTTAGACGTGCCTCTCCCTACATGGCTGAGATGAATTCAGAACACATTCAATGCATCCGAGCTGCAGGGTTGGAACAGGGTGCGATTGATGCACGTGAATATTCTCTTGGGCGCATATAAAATCAGCTTGCGGACCATTTAAAGTTCCAACAATCCGTCAAGCGATATATTTTCTTTGTCTACAGGGGTTATGTCAACCTCAGCTGGAATCCTTCAAAAAAATCCCACTGAGATGAATTGAGATGATACTTTAGCTTTGCTTTTTTTCACCGATGCTCTCGCTTCATTCAAAGCTCGAACTTGCAACTGCTTAAAGGGGGGCAAAAGCCGTTCGTGTCACATGATTATAAGCTAACTGTATTCAGAACTAAATCACCGGTATGCCACGAACCGATTAGTTTGATTACAGAAAAATGTAGCAAACACTTCAATAAATCGTTTGAAGGTAATGTTGATGAGATACATAGGATGCCGAAGCTAATGAGAAAAATAAGGGTAGAGAAAACTTCCTGCCAGAGTCAATCCAGGAAAGTGAAAGATGGGAAAGACAACAAGAATTGCAACGTTTTTCCATTCTATTCAGACGTAAAAAGACTTGTGCAACTAAAGAACAGGAATATTGAAGCTCCTCCACCAAAAAATTCGAACTCGCCAGAATTTCGTCTAGTTGTATCCAGGGAGCTTCTTGATTTCGAACGAGCACGTACACAGAATAAATGTCTCAGTCTGAAGTCTGAAAGCGGGTCGAATTTACGGAAAGTCCCGGGAAAATCGAAGTTTTCAATCCTGATTTCTTCCGCCTTCAGTTCAAATTCGATACAGCAAACGTTCTAGAAAAGAAGATCATCCTGCTCCAAAATTTAAAAAATTCTGCAGAAGCGGCCAAACACTTTTCTCGAGGCTCGAAGACTCATGAAAATGCATTTGCAATTGATGATTTCCTAGTACGGCATTGCATCCTAGTACGATAGCATTGCTTTGTTATTGTTATCCAGTAGTTCATCAGGATCAAGGAGTTCTCTGGGAGACAGACATCTATCTGAAATCGTCGAGGCAGCGCAACAACCCTTGAAATTGAAAACTTATACGATGAGAGAGAGGACGCCATGAAATGTTTAATAATAGCCCCGTTAGCGTGTAGTGCTGGAAAGGAAAGTTTTTTGGCATTGATCAATTCCGTTTGTGGGATGTGCACTGCTTTCGACCTCCACTCAAGGTTGTACTGGTGCTTTGAACGTGTACGTGGCCCATACAATGACGAGCAGTTGCCAGCCGATACTCATACCTTCCCGAACAGCCTGGTACCAATTTACCACCCTCGACGGGTCGAAAACTTGATTGGCCTGAGTACCAGGATCCCAGGTCATGCACATTTTTAGGCTCACTACTGCCCAATTCCCACTACTGATTTGTATGGTGTTCGAGTTGAAACTCTCGTGTAAGGTTCCCTTCGGAGAGTCTTAATTACTAGTTTGTCTGAGTCATAGTTAAACCATTTGTGGTAACGGTTTTCATCATTTCTCCGCGTCCTGCAGGATTTTCTAATCCGTCAGACGGTTCACTATCTCTTGACTGCTCCACCTCAAATACAACACGAAGGGTGCAGTGAGCGTGGGCTACGAGGATGGGGAGAGCAGAGACGAGAACAGTCAGTGTTTACCTCGACGGTCACTCTCCCTC